GCCAGAAATGGCCATTCCGGTCTCCCTTTGCTTTGTCGGATCCATTTAATCAAATATAATGTTTGTCAAAAAAATGCGCACCACAATTAAAATTCGCAATCATGCAAATATTCGGAAATAGCTAAACTTAAAAATGACGAACTACAAGCTTAAACTAAAGTAACCGTAACTCACTTAAATAAAAAACAATCTTAAACCATAATAGAAAATATGAACATAATAATGAACTGAAAACTAAACTGGCAACTGACCTTAAATATAAATAAGTTGAATAAACCAAATGAAATAAACTAACGTTAAGTTGTTGTGCATGCAAATTTAAAGCGTGTGCGGCGCTTTGCGTCGCGAGTTATATTAATCTAACTCCAGAACGTTAAATTGGACCCCAAGTCAGTTGAAGTTGACGACCTCACCTCCAATGTTTTTTCTCAGGAATATCAAGAAACCCAATAAACTGTGAAGTTTAAGTAAGTTGAAAATGTCCATATTTGTCGCACCCAATAAACTATAAGTAAGTGAGAAATGTAAGTAAATTTCTGCGTCTATTTATGTCGCGTCATTTTGTTGCGAAAACATTAGATTAGTTACACAATTTCTGCTACCGAAGTAGGATTCCGCTTAAGCCGGAAATGAGCATTCCAGTCTCCCCTTTCATTGCTGATAATTTTTGTTCTGCCTATTACGTTAACGGCTACCAGCGGGGCCCGAGAGCGATCCACGAGGTAAAACAAGACGGGTATGTCCCATAAGGCAATCGGTGAGCACCAAGCCAACACTGATAATTTTATGCATAATCGCCGCCCTGCTCACGCCAAAATAACCTTTATTTCCGCAAATGAATTGGTTTCAAATAGTGGACTCTCTGTTACAGTAGGACGCGGATTGGCTGATTAAATCATGCTCGAGGCTCACCAACACACGGTCTTTACTTAAGAGTGGTGTGTAATGGACAGTTTGGACAGCAGGGTGCAACTCTCCACAATACTTACAGATATCGCTTGCACACAGGGTCGATTGCGAAGCTCATGAGTTGTTTGCGCACTACTTCAAGTGAAATATCGGCATAGGCCAGTTGGAGACAAATTCTTGAGTGAAGCAAGTGTTAGCTTGGTAAAGGTAGTCCCCTATCGTTTGCAACAAGATCTGGAGGAGCGTGCATTTGTTGGGCATGTTTCTTCCCACTCCGATACCCATACGATAGTGTGGATAAGCAAAAACTAAACTGACCAAGGACCGAAACCATTTGTTTCTCCTAAGATGCCTTGCTCTTACAGGACTCTAACACTAGAGGTGACAGCA